CTGGGATTACAGACGTGAGCCACTGCACCCAGCCAAGGGAAACATGTTTTTCTAACAATTACAAAATGGATCTTCTCCATAAAATACCAATATGGGACAGGCAATTCAAGATTTTGTGTTTCATATGTTTTTAATTAAATTTAAGGGTACTTGACAGTCACTGTGGCTCATGTAATCCCAGCACTTTGAGAAGCTGAGGCAGGAGAATTGTTTGAGACCAGGAGTTCCAGAGCAGCCTGGGCAACATGGCAATATTGTGTCTCTACAAAATATATATATATATATATATATTAACCAGGGGTGGTGGCACATATCTACCGTAGTCCCAGCTACTTAGGAGGCTGAGGTGGGAGGTTCGCTTGAGCCAGAGAGGTTGAGACTGCAGTAAGCCAAAATCATGCCACTGCCCTCCAGCCTTGGTGATGGAGCAAGACCCTGTTTCATCATTCTGAAACAGACCCTTTTTCAAAAAAAGAAAAGGATAATTAAAAACAAAAATTTAAGAGTAATAGGGATTTTTAAAAATCCTAATATACAAATCTATTTAGGAAGTATGCCAAAAGTAAGGTATACTTAGTAAGAAAACAATAAGAAAGGTATAAAACATGTTATTGCTGGGCGCGGTGGCTCATGCCTGTAATCCCAACACTTTGGGAGGCCGAGGTGGGTGGATCACGAGGTCAAGAGATCAAGACCATCCTGGCCAACATGGTGAAACCCTGTCTCTAAAAAAAAACAAAAAAATGTTCTTTATTAAGAAAAAAGTAATTTTGTCTAATTTAGAAGTTATTTAAAGGGAGTTTTAAAATACGAACTTAAGAAAAAAATAGAAAAAAGATAAAAGGAACCAGTAAGTAGATGAGAGAGAGATGTAAAGAAAGTTACAGATGTGAAGCAATGAGAATAGTTTTGGATAGGAAAGAGTCTTATGTGGTCAATGTCTGTCCTAGACTAAAACAACTAGACATTTAAGGAAGAGGAAATACCGGGCAAGTCCAAGCATGTCACAGGTGTCTAACTAAGTCATGACAAGGCTCGGGAATGGGAACTTATGATGAAAATGTTGGGTGTAACAAAGGATGTAAAGGACCTCTTCAAGGAGAACTACAAACCACTGCTCAAGGAAATAAGAGAGGACACAAACAGATGGAAAAACATTCCATGCTCATGGTTAGGAAGAACTAATATCGTGAAAATGGCCATACTGCCCAAAGTAATTTACAGATTCAATGCTATCCTCATCAAGCTACCTATGACCCTCTTCACAGAACTGGGAAAAAAAAAACCACCTTAAACTTCATATGGAACCAAAAAAGAGCCCACGTAGCGAAGACAATCTTAAACAAAAAGAACAAAGCTAGAGGCATCACACTACCTGACTTCAAACTATACTACAAACCTACAGTAATCAAAACAGCTTGGTACTGGTACCAAAACAGATATATAGATCAATGGAACAGAACAGAGGCCTCAGAAGCAACGCCACACATCTACAACCATCTGATCTTTGACCAACCAGACAAAATCAGGCAATGAGGAAAGGATTCCCTGTTTAATAAATGGTGTTGGGATAACTGGCTAGCCACATGCAGAAAGCAGAAACTGGACCCCTTCCTGACACCTTACACTAAAATTAACTCCAGATGGATTAAAGACTTAAACATAAGACCTAACACCATTAAAACTTTCTTCTTAGAAAGTTTTCTTTCTCAGAAGAAAACCCAGGCAGTACCATTCAGGACATAGGCATAGGCGAGGACTTCATGACTAAAACACCAAAAGCAATGGCCACAAAAGCCAAAATAGACTAATGGGATCTAATTAAACTCCACAGCTTCTGTACAGCAAAAGAAACAGTCATTAGAGTGAACTGGCAACCAACAGAATGGGAAAAAATTTTTGCAGTCTACCCATCTGACAAAGGGCTAATATCCAGAATCTACAAAGAACTAAAACAGATTTACAAGAAAAAAACAAACAACCCCATTCAAAAGTGGGCAAAGTATATGAACAGACACTTTTCAAAAGAAGACATATATGAGGCCAACAAACATATGAGAAAATGCTCATCATCACTGGTCATTAGAGAAATGCAAATCAAAACTACATTGAGATATCATCTCATGCTGGTTAGAATGGCGATCATTAAAAAATCTGGAGACAGATGCTGGAGAGGATGTGGAGAAATAGGAAGACTTTTACACTGTTGGTGGGAGTGTAAATTAGTTCAACCATTGTGGAAGACAGTGTGGCAATTCTTCAAGGGCCTAGAAATAGAAATTCCATTTGACCCAGCAATCCCATTACTGGGTATATATCCAAAGGATTATAAATCGTTCTATTATAAAGACACATGCACATGTATGTTCATTGTGGCACTGTTCACAATAGCAAAGACCTGGAACCAACCCAAATGCCCATCGATGATAGACTGGACAGGGAAAATGTGGCACATATACACCATGGAATACTATGCAGCTATAAAAAAATGATGAGTTCGTGTCCTTTGTAGGGACATGGTTGAATCTGGAAACCATCATTCTCAGCAAACTGACAGAAGAACAGAAAATCAAACACTGCATGTTCTCACTCATAGGCGCATGTTGAACAATGAGAACACATGGACACAGGGAGGGGAGCATCACACACTGGGGCCTATTGGAGAGGGGTAAGGGGAGGGACAGTGGGGGGTAGAGAGGTTGGGGAGGAATAATGGGGAGAAATGCCAGATATAGGTGACAGGGGGTGGAGGCAGCAAGCCACATTGCCAAGTATGTACCTATGCAACAATCCTGCATGATCTGCACATGTACCCCAGAATCTAAAATACAATTTAAAAAATATATTTTTTTAAAAGAAAATGTTGGGTGTGATTAAGTTGGCTATAATTAAGTGAAATTATTTGTAACAGGTTTTTTGTTGTTGTTGTTTTTATTTTTGGTCGGTTTTTTTTTTTTTTTTTTTTTTTTTGATGGAGTCTCACTGGTTCGCCCAGGCTGGAGTGCAGTGGTGCAATCTTGGCTCACTGCAACTTCCATCTCCTGGGTTCAAGCGATTCTCCTGCCTCAACCTCCCAAGTAGCTGGGATTACAGGTGCCTGCCACCATACCTGGCTAATTTTTGTATCTTTAGTAGGGATGGGGTTTCACCATGTTGGCCAGGCTGGTCTTGAACTGCTGACCTCGTGATCTGTTGGCCAGGCTGGTCTTGAGCTCCTGACCTCAGGTGATCCCAGCCTCCCACAGTGCTGGATTTACAGGCGTGAGCCACTGTGCCTGGTCTATAGCAGTTTTTGTTAAAGAATGCATTTGGATGTTAAAACACGTGACACAGAACTTAAAATTTTGGTCCACTGTGTTAAAACAACAGCAGTTTCTTAAGACATTAATTTACTCTTAGTAAAATTCTAAGAGGCTTTGTTTTTTATTTTTAAAACCTGCTTCGATAATAGCCAGTCTCTAAATGACAAATTAGTTTCTGTTTCTGTCATATTCCTTCTTAAAATCAGTGTAGTTCCTCTGGTTTCAGGTTTATCTTGAAGGTCTAGAAAAGTGGCTTTATGCTAGTATAAATTTTTTTTTTTTTTTTTTTTTTTGAGATGGAGTCTCTCTGTCGCCCAGGCTGGAGTGCAGTGGTGTGACCTTGGCTCACTGCAATCTCCGCCTCCCAGGTTCAAGCAATTCTCCTGCCTCAACCTCCCAAGTAGCTGGGATTACAGGTGTCCACCACCATGACCAGCTAATGTTTGTATTTTTAGTAAAGACGGGGTTTTACCATGTTGGTCAGGCTGACCACATGATCTGCCCGCCTCGGCCTTGCTTTTGAAGTCTTTTGATTGTCACTGTGGTTAAATGAGTAGCTATTATTTGGCAGTGATCTCTGATTTGGTGGAAGGAAGTCATTTGAACTTTCTGACACCTTTAGAAGGTTTTCCCAGGATCCAAATGCTAAATTAAGCCATCTGGCCTAAAATCAACTTTGAGATTCTTCCAGAAGGGCCTCCTGGAGTGCCTCAAAGTTTATAAATCTCATCTTGTGGAAATATTCAATGATCAGGCTTATTTGATAAGTAATACAGGAGGCATTGTCAAATAGAAATGGTGTTTAACTTCCTTTAAGTAATGTCTGTGTAAGTGTGTCACTAAAACATGGGAAATTGTTTGAGAGTCCTAAAACTCTGATATGCCAAGATCCATCCCATGACTGTGATCATGGTGTTGCGTGGTTGTGTGCTGCGGAAATGCTTAAATCTCCTGTCAATTGTAAACCGTCTTCAGATCTCTGCCTGACTGTTCGGGGCTTTTGTCACTCATGGTTATTCTTTATTTTTGAGTTATGGTCTCACTCTGTTGCCTAGGCTGGAGGACAATGGCCCCAGCTTTCAGTTGTCCAATCTTTCTGGCCCAAACTAACATATATCTTACACGTATTGATTGATGCCTAATGTCTCCCTAAAATGTATAAATCCAAGCTGTGACCCGACCATCTTGGGCTTATGTCCTCAGGATCTCCTAAGGGCTGTGTCACAGGCCATGGTCAGAATGAATCTCTTCAAATATTGTACAGAGTCTGACTCTTTGGGTTGACATCTGCGATAATTTGACCAAGTGTCCTTTGTGAACAAAGGTGGAAGGATTCACTTTTTCTCCCTATTTGATTCCTACAAAATTCAGAAACTATTAATGAATATTCTTATTTATATGAGATCAGCAAAAAAAATAATAATAATAATAATAATCCCTGCTCTCTGTAAGCAGGATACAATTAGAAACAGCGATTATATTACCAAGGTTTGGACTGAAATACCATATTTTAGAAATGTGGGCTGGGCATGGTGGCTCATACCTGTAATCCCAGTATTTTAGGAGACCGAGGTAGACTGCTTGAGCCCAGTTTGACAGCAGACTAGGCAACATAGTTCTACATCTGAGATTTCCTTTATAATCAAGATGTGTGGAGACCCCATTCTACAAAGGAAGTTCAACCTCAGAGAGACAGGCTCTCCAGAACAGATGAGTTTATTTGGGAAGACCAGAGGATTGCAACCGGGTTAGGAGTGTGAGGACGGATCCCAGCCATATACTGGGGGCCATGGCCACGGGAAAGCTTTTAAAGACAGAAGTCCATGTAAGTGGCTTTGAAACAAGGTTCACAGGTCACAAGCTGATTGCGGGAGTTGGCAGTGGAGACAGCCGTGCTAGGCAAGCGCCTGCGGCTCACCAGGAATGCTACAGGCTTGAGGACGTGTTCTCGGTATGCCCTGTGTCTAGTCTAAGTGCAGGAGTGTCTTGTGAAAAATCCTGTTACGGGCATGTGTGTGTGAGGGCTTCTCTGTGACCTCCCCGACTCCATTTTGTTAGCATTTGACATAAGTGACTCCATTTTGGTTCCAGCAACTTTCACATAAGGAAACCGAGGCTCAGAGAAGTCGAGGGACTTGCCATAGGCCCCAGTAACGCTGCGCAGTGGAGTGAGGCAGACCCCAGCTTTCCCAGTGGACGCAGCTGCTGCTGGTGAGCGCGGGGTGCGGTGTGAGCCAGAGGGGGGTGCAGAGACCACTGGGAGACGTGAGAGGGCCCCTGGGGGAGGCAGTGCCGGTGCGGCGGGGATGGGGCAGAGGTGGACCGTGCGTGCCTAGAGGAGAGAGCTCCACGCTCTGAACCCTTCAGTGCTGCTGCCCCTAAGAAGGCAGGGCACTGTCTTTCCCAGGGTAATGCTGTCCCAGGACTGGGCCTGGCCAACCGTGACTGAGAGAGCAAAGGGCTGGAACTGGGGAGGGTGGGTGAGTGGGGGGACACTTGGCACGTTTTGCGGCGTCTTGGCCTCTCCCGAAAGACCTTGCTTTCAACCCTGGCAGCCAGGATGCCGTCATGTGACAGCTGGGGACGCCCGCGGTCTGGAGTAACAATGTGAGTTGGGGGGGGCACAGAGCCCCTCAGGACTAGACTCAGGTTTCTCTGTGCAACCCGTCGGAGGCGGGCGGGGTGCTCACAGGATGGTGCAGCTCTGGGAGCCCAGGACCCAGTGGACCAGCTGCTGCACCCTGTCGGAATAGGGCGGGTAGCGGATGTTGTTCAACTTCTCCAGGCCGGCGGGGCAGAGCAGGCAGGCGCGGTGGTGGGAGAAGGTGTCGAAGGTGAACTTGCCGTGGTACCGGCCCATCCCGCTGTGGCCTGTGTGGGCGCAGAGAGCGAGGGCCTGAGCCAGGCCACCCACGCAGCCTCAGCAGCAGCCCGCTACCTAGCCAGGGGCACACAGCTGACAGGGAGCTGAGAGAGAGCCAGGCCATTCACTGAGCCATTTTACAGAGAGGGAAACTGAGGCCTTGAGAGGCCCAGGGCCCGGCTCAAGGTTGAACAGTGAGTGAAGGGACTTCCTGCGTCTGGGGTACCAAACCCAAGCTTCGCTGGGGGTGGAAATGCGCAGGGACTCACCGACGCCCCCGAAGGGCAGGGACGACAGAGTCATGTGGATGAAACCGTCATTGCCTACAAAGCTGCCACTGCTGGTCTGCTCCAACATCTGGTTCACAACCTGCCTCGGAGTGGGAAGGGGGGCAGTGGGCTCCAGTCACGGGAAGGGGGCTTGAGCCCCGCCCATTCCACGGCGGAGGTGGGGGAGGCCCACCCCATCCTCGCCTGTCCCTCCACCCTCTAACAGGCAATCATCTCTGCTCTACCTATCTTGTGGGGACAGCACCCTCTCAGTGAGGGTCGGGGTGCCGTGAGGGTCGGGGTGCCGTGGGGGTGATTACCACCATGGTACAAAGACCAGGAAACCTTGCAGGACAGCAGGGAGCCAGTGGCCTTGAGTTGTGTCATGAGGTTACGACGCTGCAGTAGGGGGTGCACGCCTCGCCACGACCCGCTGGGCTCTGGCTGTCAGGCCCCGGCTCTGCCCTGTCCCCGGCCGCCACTCAGGGCCTCTGCTTGCCCAGGCAGAACCTCGGCACAGTCCAGGTGCAGGCTGGACAGAGGGCGGGCCCACCACGTGCTTGGTGGGTTTGGATCATACCCCCTCAGCCAGGCATCCTCGCCAGATGCAGTGTTACCAGGTGGCCTAGATATAGTTGCCCTTGAGGCATCTGCTGCCCCAAAGCCCTCCTGGGAAGGGCTGTGAAAGGAGAGGGGTCAGTCTGTGCCCCTTTGAGCCCCTCCATTGCCCCCAGCCCGGCTGCGCCCCCACCTGGCTGCTGTTGGAGAAGGCGTACAGGGCCAGGGGCTTCTCCCGCCGGTTGATGAACTCGATGGCCTCGTCCAGGCCCCGCACGTTCATGATGGGCAGGATGGGCCCGAAGATCTCCTCCTGCATCACCGGCTCCGTCTCCTGCACATCCACCAGCACCGTGGGGGCTGCCGGGCACCAGAGACGGCTCAGCCCCGGGGCCACAGTCAGGACAGCCCCCAGGGGCGGGGGTAGCGGTGGGGACAGGGCCAAGGGCCAGGGCTCCAGGCCAGGATCCCAGGGTCTGACTTCCCAGGCTCCAGGATTTGGAGTGTCTAGGGAAGAAAGTCTCCCCACAGCCCCCAGAAGGGACCCTAGGGCTTCCCCAGCCTGCCCAGGGCCTGCGGGACCCAGAGAATCCCCCGACCTTGGTCCCACAGTCAGGAGTGATGGGATCTCAGAACCTTGGAGTTCATGAGGCGACAGCGTCCAAGAATGTTGGAGCCGCAGCGTCCCGTGAGCTGCTGAGCTGTACGGCCCAGGAGACCGGGGGGCTCAGGATGGGGCCATCGGGGTTTGGAACCCGGGGATCACGGGCTCGGAGAATCTGAGGTCATGGCCTTTCAGGACAGCGGGTGGTGGGATGGGAGTTCATCTTAGCACGGTAGGCCCTGGAGCCCGGGGTCCGAGCTCAGTGAATGAATCCAGGGCTGAGGGACCAGAGTTTGGCCTCATGGGGCCGCAGGCTCAGAAGCACGGAGACAGATTAGGGCACCGGAGCTGTGGCTCAAGGCCGGGCTCTGGCGGCGGGAACAGGTTTCAGGTGCGGGCCCAGATTCATGGCCCAGCTGTGGGCCCTCCAGTGAGGACGGGTCTCGGCCCACGTGGGCTGTGGCGGGGGCAGTAGTACTCACCGATGTAACGATCGCGCTCATCGCTCTGGCCCCCGATGGCCACGCGGCCGCAGCCCAGCAGCGCCCGCAGCCGCTGGAAGTGTTTCTGGTTGATGATGCGGCCCAGGTTTGGGGAGCTCTGGGGGTCGTCGCCGTAGAAACGGGTGATGGTGCTCTGCAGGGCGGGCAGCAGCCTCTCCTGCATCTCAGGGCTGCACAGGAGGTAGTCAGGGGCCACGCAGGTCTGGCCGGCGTTGAAGTAGCGGAACCAGGCCACGCGGTTGGCCACGATCTGGGGGTCACAGTCGTCGTCCACATAGCAGGGGTTCTTGCCCCCGAGCTCCAGGGTGACGGGCGTCAGGTGCTTGGTGGCGGCGGTCATGACAATCTTGCCCACGCGAGGGCTCCCTGGGCGTGGAAGGAAGCCAAAGTGGCCGTTCAGTGACCTGGACCAGGCCTGGGGCCCCCCTCCTCCCTGGAGAGGTGGCGGAGTCGGCGGGCTTACCCACTGTCTTCATAGAAACCCTTCACGGCCCAAGTCCTGGCCTGCCACCTCTCCTGGCTGGTTCTGCCTCACCCACTGGGACCTGCCCCAGCCCAGCCACCCCAGGGTCCAATTCCTCCAACGTGCCCAGGGCCTGGCCTGTGCCGGCAGATGGCCTCTGCCAGCTCCAGCTTCCCATGCGCCCCCACTGCTGGTCCCAGCCCCCTCCCTCCACAGCCCTCCCGCCCTCTCCCCTGCTATTCCCTCTGCCTGCTCTGGGACCCTGGCCTGGCCCCCTCACCCGTGAAGAAGATGTAGTCAAACTTGTGCTCCAGCAGCTGCCCCGTCTCCTCGGGCCCGCCCAGCACCATGGCAAAGCAGCGCTACAAGGCGGGACGGGCGGCTCAGGGGCAGGCTCCGGGGCGGCAGGGTGTCCTCAGCCCGCAGGGGTGAGGCATGGGGGCGCCGGGAGCTGCCAGGGCAGGGCCACCCTCACCTGGTCCAGGTACTTCGGCAGCACCTCAGCCAAGACCTTCTCGGTGCCCCGGCTGATTTCTGACGGTTTCAGCACCACGCAGTTTCCTGGAGGGACAGATGGGGCCATCACTGGGGGAGCTCAGGTCCCCACACCCACCCAGGGTCTAGGCTGGGAGGGCACATGAGGCCGAGGGCATTGCATAGGCAGGATTCTGGGGGCCTCTTTAGGAAGGGCTGCTGGGCAGGGAGGGTATGGAATTCAGAACCCCCTCCTCACCTGCGGCGAGGGCGCCCACCAGGGGCACCAGGGTCAGGTTCACGGGGTAGTTCCAGGGTGCAATGATGAGGACCAGGCCAAAGGGTTCCTTCCGGATGAAGGCTGAATCCAGCTTTGTAAACTGGGGCACAGGGCAGACGTGAGACCCTGCCAAGGGCCACACCCAAACCCACCCACCGCACACTTGTGGCCTCAGCTCCCTGTGCAACGAAGTCCCAGGAGAGAGGAGAAAGTCAGTGATTTGCCCGGGCTCGGGGGCAGGAAGCGGCCTGAGTCAGAGCTGCCCAGTGCTCTGCCCTGCCCTCCCGCCATTGCCAGCATGGCTCACCCAGTTTGTGGACCCTGGCTCGTCCTTCATCCAGGCCTGCAGGTTCTGGAGAGCGAGGTTGATCTCATTCTGGCAAATGATGAGCTCAGATATGTCTGAATCGAAGGCTGACTGTGGTGGAGGTGGAATGCGGAGTGGTCAGGCCCAGAGCTGGCCGAGGAGGGGTCTAGGATTTGAGGAGGGCACACGCAGGAACCACCCCCACCAGATACATAAAGAGCTCCTATGGGAGGCGCTGCCGTCCCCTGGGAACTGCACATGGCTGCAATTCTGATCTGCAACTTCCTGGCTGTGTAGCCTTGGCAAGCAAGTGACTTTAACCCCTGAGTGCCTCAGTTTCCCCATTTGCAACATGGGGCCAGCCATCGAGCCTGCATCACAGGGTGGCCGTGAGTGTTATGAGTGAAGGTCGGGTGCCTGTCACAGGGAGGGGTCTGTTGAACAGGAATAAAACTAGACACAGCCAGTCACTGGGGGCATGGACGCTCCCGAAGGACAGGGATGACGCTCCGACCCCTGCCTGCGCCCACCCTCCACGGCCCACCTTGTGCAGGTCCTGGGCCAGCGCGTCGTGCAGAAGCTGCTTGTTTTCTTGAAGGAAGCGGCCGAGAGCCTGGAGCTGCTCAGCCCGGAACTCGGCCGGCCGAGTGCACCCCGAGTGGAAGGCCTCCCGCAGTCGCCGCAGCGTGTCCTCAAAGGGGTCCGTCCTGCCGGACGGTGCAGCATGAACTGCGTGGCCAGGGCTGCCCCTCCTTTATGGGCACCTCCAGCCACCCCAGGGTCTGCACACCCTTGCCCCAGCTGTGCCCATGGGAGCTCACAGGCACCCCCACCTCATACACACACAGAATGGCTCCACGGAGGCTGGGGCTGCCTGCACCCCCTCCGCTCACCTGCCTCCCAGGCGCACCCATAAGGGAGGGTCCTGGGCTTGACCTCCTCCACTCCAAGGAGGGGTTTCCCGTCTCAGCGCCCTGGAAGCCCAGCACACCCCACACCTCGGGTGACCCCTTTGCCCGCCATCCCAGCTCTTCCCTGCTCTTCCCCTCCTTGCACAGACACATACCCACCCACATTGGCACCTGGCCACCCCTTCACCCAGACCACCCAGGTGGAACACGGTCTCTCCTGGGTCTTCTTCCCTTCTGAGACTAAACATGGAACTTGGATTTCTGACGTCTTTGCGTCAGAAATCACAGAGCTTTGAGGTCGCAGATGGGGAAACTGAAGCCATAGGCGTGCTCTAGCTCTGAGGAGGGTTTGGCACCTGCTCTGGGAGGGGTGTGGCACCCAGCTGGTCCTGGAAGGAAGCAGAAGCGGAGGAGAAAGCTCCGAGGCTGGCATCCATGGGCACAAGTGGCAGGTGGGGGTAGGTTGGCAGAGAGGAGACTGCCCCAGGGCGTGAACCTGTCTGGGCTTTAGTCTGAGGGCCCAAGGGAACCCCAGTGGGATCTGGAGAGGAGGAGAGATCAGGACCATGGGGTGGGGGAAGGGCCCAGGGGACTCTCAGGAGGATTGCCAGCCCCAGCAAGGGAGGTCTGAGCACCCCAACCCAGGGACCGAAGAATGGCTTGCAAATCCTGTGTCTTTGTGTATCCGTGTGTATGCATGTCTTTGTGTCTCTGTATATCTTTGTGTGTCTATGTGTGTGTCTCTGTGCGTATGGGTGTCTGTCTTTGGGTGTGTTTGCATGTATGGGTGTCTGTGTGTCTCTGTGTGTCTGTATGTATGGGTGCTGTGTGTCTGTGTGTATAGGTGTCTGTGTGTGGGGAGGTGTCAGGGTGTTTGTGTGTCTGTGTATATGGCTGTGTGTCTTTGGGTGTCTGTGTGTCTTTGTATGGGTGTCTATGTCTTCATGTATATGAGTGTCTGTGTGTTGTGTCTTTGTGTATCTTTGTGTATATGGGTGTCTGTGTGTGTCTTTGTGTGTATAAGTGTCTGGATGTCTGAATGTCTGTGTGTGGGTGTCTTGTGTGTCTTTGTGTGTATGGGTGTCTGTGTGTGTATATGGGTGTCTGGGTGTCTGTGGGTGTCTGCGTGTATATGGGTGTCTGTGCATCTGTGGGTGTCTGTGTGTCTGTGTGTATGTGGGTGTCTGTGTGTGTATAGGTGTCTGTGTCTGTGTGTGTGTGTGTCTGCATACCTGTGTGTGTGTGTGTGTGTGTGTGTGTATGGGTGTCTGTGTGGCTGTGTGTATATGGGTGTCTGTGTGTCTGTGTGGTTATATGGGTGTCTGTGCATCTGTGGGTGTCTGTGTGTCTGTGTCTGTGTGTCTGTGTGTGTATAGGTGTGTGTGTATGGATGGATGTCTGTGTGTATGTGGGTGTCTGTGTGTGTGTATCTGTCTCTGTGTGTGTGTGTGTGTGTGTGTGTGTGTGTGTATGGGTATATGGGTGTCTGTGTGTCTATGTATGGCTGTCTGTGTGTTTGTGCATCTGTGTGTCTGTGTGTGGGTGGGTGTCTGTGTGTTTGTGTGTCTGTGTGTGTATGGGTGTTTGTGTGCCTGTGGATGTATGGGTGTCTATGTGTTTGTGCATCTGTGGGTGTCTGTGTGTCTGTGTGTGTGTGTGTCTTTATATGTGTATGAGTGTCTGTGTGTCTGTGGGTGTCTGTGTCTGTGTGTGTCTGTGTGTCTGTGTGTCTGTGGATGTCTGTGTGTGTATGGGTGTTTGTGTGCCTGTGGATGTATGGGTGTCTATGTGTTTGTGCATCTGTGGGTGTCTGTGTGTCTGTGTGTGTGTGTGTCTTTATGTCTATATGTGTATGAGTGTCTGTGTGTCTGTGGGTGTCTGTGTCTGTGTGTGTCTGTGTGTCTGTGTGTCTGTGGATGTCTGTGTGTGTATGGGTGTCTGTGTGTTTATGTGTGTGTGGGTGTCTGCGTGTCTCTATGTTTATCTGTGGGTGTCTGTGTGTGTAGATGGGTGTCTGTGTGTCTACGTGTGTATGGGGATCTGTGGGTGTACAGACTTCTTCAGCACTCCGGAGGGCTTCTCAGGAGCCTGCCACAGGGGAAAGTGAGGCTCAGAAGACACCAGTGCCCACCTCCCTCTCCCGAGCAAGCCTTTATGCTCATGGCCCCGTCACCGTGCAGCGATAGCCCCATAGTGGGCTCACCCCCCTGACCCACATGCCATGGCCAAACATCCCTTTCCCTCCATGCCCCTGGTCTCCACCAATGTACCCCACCAGGTAAAACCTGCACTTTACCTGGAGCCCCCTAGCTGGCCCTCGCCCCTGTGGCCCCACGTACCCCAGTGTGGGCTCTGCTCCTGGGTCCTTCACCGCACTTCCACCCCCTTTCTCGGACATGCTGCCTCCTGATGTGCCGGCTCCACTCCCAGCCCCAGTCCTCCGCCCTCCTCTGCTGACTGCAATCCTCCCGGGAGCCTGGCAGCCCCGACCCACCTCCAGTGCCCACACCTGGCAATGGGCTGATGCTCAGGATTACCCAATAGGCGTGGGGAAAGGCTGCACCTCCTAATTCCCACACCTACCCTTTTCTCACTCGGGACCTACAACTGCTCTCTATCTACCCTGCTCATCCAGGGCCCTGCCCCCAGGAGCCACACTGCACAGCTGGCTTGGGAACAGGTTGGTCAACTCCAGGTTGTCTGAAACTTTGCTCTGTTTTTACTGGAATGGGCTAGCAGGAAGTTACCTCATCAGGAAAAATGTCCCCCAGGGGAAGGTCACAGGATGAAAATATCAGCAGGACCATGGTGGCAAATGCTGCCTCCTCCAGGAAGCCCTCAGAACCCCCAGCCACAGTGGTCCCATGCCTTCCGTGGCCCCACCAAGGGTCTCTATGCTAAATCTGCATCTCCCTCCTCTCCTCCCCCTCCCCCACTCTTCAGGGCGCTCAGGTCAAGATGAGCAACTGTGATCTATTTCCACACTCAACGTGCCCAGCTGGCATACTCGGAGCAGAGGAAGGGGCGGAGACCTTTGCTGAGAGACCCTTGATGGGTGGCAGCACCTGGGGCTTGAGAAAGGGGCACTGTTTATTGGTTTGTTTATTTATTTACTTTGCAACCGCGGGTGAGTTACTTAACCTCTCTGAGCCTTTTGGAAGTAACAGTAACACCTAATTGTCATGGTTCTTCAGAGGGTCGCAGTGGGAGACGTGAGAATGGAAAAGGAAGATCACAGCTCCTGGCACAAAATCAGTGCCCTCAGTGTTGCGTGCTACTGTTTCCACAAGTATTTGCTGAGCACCTTCCAGGTTCCAGGGAGCAGAATGAGCTCCGGCTCCGCCATGGTCCTTCGTGGATGGCCTGATCCTGTCCCCACCCCACCTTCCCCCAAGCTGGGACCAAGGACAGACCCTGCTGAGGTCTATAGAGAGTCTCTTGGCAGACGGCGCAGGCCCTGATAAGCAGGAGGGACGTCGGAGATAACCCTTGATTGTGACCTAAGCCAGCCTGGCAGGGGTCACAGCCGGCTACCAAGCCCTGGCCCTGGAGTCTTCGGTAGCTAAAGATGTGAATGCCAATGTGACACTGGGAAGGGACCTCGAGGCTGGGGCAAGGGGATACAGGGCAGAGTCCTAGGGCCCATCTAAGAGCAGCAGAGGGGTTCTGGCCACTAGGGAGGCCCACTGCCTCCAAACCACTGAATTGTACGCTGTCAATGGGTGAGTTGTATAGGATATGAATTCTATCTCAATAAACTGCTTGGTTTGATTTTGTTAAACTGAGCTGACAAGAAGCCTGCAGAGACTATAAAGAAATTAAAATATGCTCCACTGAATGGCAACTGTAAAAATGTAAAGGAGGCCAGCTGCGGTGGCTTTAGCCTGTAATCCCAGCACTTTGCGAGGCCGACGCTGGCGGATCACCTGAGGTCAGGAGTTTGAGACCAGCCTGGCCAACATGATAAAACCCAAAAATACAAAAAAGTTAGCCAGGCGTGGTGGCATGTGCCTGTAGTCCCAGCTACTCGGGAGGCTGAAGCAGGAGAATCACTTGAATCTGGGAGGCGGAGGTTGAAGTGAGCCGAGATCACACCATTGCACTCCAGCCTGGGCGACACAGCAAAACTCTGTCTCAAAAAAAACAATAAATAAAATGTAAAATAAAACCATTGTAGACGCTTTGTCACGCACTGTGTAGCATCCTCCTGGGGCTGCCGCAACAAATGGTCACCAACATAAAGCTGAAAAACACAGAAATTTACCCATCTGAAAGCACGAGTCCAAAATCCAGGCGTGGGCCGGGCTCTCTCTGCAGTGCCGGGGAGGAGCCGTTTGAGTTCGCTTGTCGGGCTTTGGTTTTTTTTTTTTTTTTTTTTGCTTAGACGAGTAGGCAGGTAACTTTATTCACAAACTGCTCAAAAACACAGGCTGCAGAGAACAGGATTTGGACTGGCAAACTCACTGTACCCTCATTTCACACTCTTTCTTCTTTGCTGTCTACCCTGGAGCATTTTGGCTGGGAAGCAAAACCCCAATGCTATTACAGGGAGTCCCCATACCCCTCATTCCACACCCACCCCACCCCACCCACCACCCAGAAGCTGACGCCTTATAACCCACTTTGAGGAAAATATCCTGTCCTGGTTTTCTCTGTTCCAATCAGCCCTCCAAACACATCCTCAATCTGGAACACAGACTTCAAGCCAGGCTGCGTTCTGTCAGGCTGCTGATTGCCCTTTTCTGGCAGACTCCCGATGACGGTACCATCTCTGCTTAGAGACTGTAGTGGTGACTGGTGTTCTCACGCAAGGCAGCCAAGGTGCGGGAGAGTGGCTGATCTTTGACCCTGGCAATCTCTCGGACCGTATGCAAGGCCAGGCCCGGGTGGGCATACTGACAAAGGCTTTTGGGAACCTGGCGAGGAAGGAAGTAGGGAGCATCCGTTTCCACGATGATTCTCTCCAGTGGGATCTGCCTCAGGGCTTCCCGGGCCTCCCAGGCGGAAGAGTATGTCAGCACTGCCGTGAAGCCCACAGACATGTTGGGAAAGTACTTCAGCAGGGGCTCGATGACCGGGTAGCTGCCGGTGAAGCAATGCCTATGGATCTTGTAGTCAGGGGGCACAAACTTTTTCATGATGTCTAGCAGATCTTCATCAGCTTCTCGGCAATGAATCACCAAGGGCTTCTTTAGAGACACAGCCAGCTGCAGCTGTCTCTCAAATACCTTGTGCTGTTCTGGGACAGACGTGGTGCACTTGTAAGAGTAATCCAAGCCCATTTCCCCAAATGCTACAGCCTTGGGGTGCCTTAAGGCTTGCAAAAGATTTCTTTCTTGACTCTCACTGTAGTAACGTGCAAAATGAGGGTGACAGCCAAAGGCCCCCCACACCAGATCCTCTTTTAATAGCTCCTCCCATAGGCAATCTGTCAAGGTGCGAGGGTCACAGAAGTCAGAGATACAACCCTGAAATTCCTTTGGGAAGGAGCTGCTGTAAATTTTTCTGAACTTTTTAAAGATCCCTTGGAAAGACAACTTGCAATAGAGCATGTCCAAGTGACAGTGGGTGTCAATGACGCCCTCCTCTAGGCTTGGCTCCCAGTGGCTCTTTGGCAGGGAGTTGGATGAATGTCCTCCACAAGGACGCAGTGGCGTCTCCTCTTGGAACGTTCTTTTCTCCTTCACCTCTCTTTCTTCTAAGATTCTGGAAAAGCGAAATGAACGAGAATTCTGGGACCGGCCTTCCTCTGAGGCCTCCATGTCTCTGGAGGTGTTTTGGGCGCTCCCTGAAGAGTTGGGGGAATAATCACTCAGGCAGCTCCAGCTGCTCCTCCCAACCTGGGCTGCATCATTGCTGCCACTCCCTGTGGAGGGGTAGCTGGAAGGCTTGGGGCTGCTGGTCCAATAGCTGGCGTAGTCACACCAAGGACTACTGTACAAATGAGGCGGGTACATGATGTAGTCAGTGGTGAAGGAAGAGGGCTCTGGAACGGCTGAGGGTTTCAGCAAGACAGGTTCCTCCTGAGAGAATCTGACTGTGGAGATGTCCTCAACATCAGACCAGGCACTGCCAGAAGAGGGCTGCTCCATCACCACCTCCCTATCTTTATGCTTTTGATTTTCTAAATGAGAGTTAGAGTCATCCAAGAACTCTAGGGGTTGAGAGCATTTGTCAATGACCGTCCTTTGGTCTCCAAGGGACTCCTCACTGGGTTTCTCCTGAGGGTCTATAACTACCCTCCTGTCACAGAAGCTGCTCTTCTCTGGGATGGCCTTGTCCTCCTTCACGCTGACCTCTGGAGTTGACTCTTTCTCCTGAGCCGAAGTGACTGTGACATTCCTGGCTGCTCCTTCTGCAGTCTTGGCTGATCCTTCGTTCCTGGCTGGTCCTTCACTCCTTGCTGGTCCTTCTCCACGGCTGCGACGCTCTGCTGTGCTTAGTTTTGCCCTAGTGGCAGCCTCTCCCTTCCTTTTTGGCATCGATTTCCCCAAGATGCCCTGGATAGCCTTTAAGTAGATCATTGTGGAGCCCTGGTCTTGAAGTCTATCCCTCTTCCTTTTCTGGACCTTGTTGGGTTCCTCGATCATATCACTCTGACCCTCAGCTTCAGCTGCAAATTCAGAGTTTGTGGAATTATGAGCACTATCTTTGGAATCAACCTTAAGGCTGCAGGCTTCCTCCTCTAGAGAAGCCATTTCTTCTAGAAAGGCATTGGCAGGACGCGGAGGGGATCCCCCTGACGACGACAGGAAACCCCGAGAGCTACGAATCAGGCAGCCTTTGGAAGCGGCCCCGCCCACACCTGGGCCCAAGAAACGGGGGGAAGAGGAGGAGGAGTTATTTCTGCGGCGGGATGAGCCCCAGGATATCCTCCGTGAGCAAGCCACATCGTCCTCCTTCTGGGCTTTCAGGCGCTTGGGGCTGCCGGGCTCTCCCGAAGGCCACGCAGAGCTCTGAGCTGGTCGGCTGGAGGGGGCCACATGGCCGGGCTCCCGGAGGCAGCTGCGCTTGCTGGGACACCCTTCCGACGTGCTGCTCCAGTTGTACTTGACCTTGTGCCTCTCGGACGCCATGGGCACCTTTCCCTCTTCTTTCCACTGCCCATCACAGTTCTCAAGGTTTCAGAGATGCCGAACCGTGTGGGAGAAGTCAAAACGATTCAAAATTTACTAAAGGCTTCCGTTGGTTCCCAAGCCCACAACGTGCTTCTGAGATCACCCACCGCTTCACTTTGTACAGCGCTACTTCGGAGATGCCTAAGCGCTTCCGGGGCTACAAAGCGCTTTGATCAGTTTGCAATATAAAGCCCTTCAGAACTGCCAAAGCGCTTCAAGGTCCACACATGGCTGCCGCACCAGCAGCCCAGGGGCCGGCGCTTAGCCCGGAGGCCAGGGCCAGACCCGGCGCCGCAGCCCACCCAGCTCTCGCGGCCCGAGCAGCCCCGGGCCGGAAGGGGCCCGAGCTGCCCCTCGGGAGCTGGCAGCGCCCTCGTCTGCCGGCTCAGGACGGCCTGCCGGGCTGCCGCCGCTGTACCGCAGGGCAACTCGCCGCCGACCCCAGCCCTACAACCCTCCCGCCGGGCCTCCGCCTGAGCTGCGACCACCCCCTTGGCTTTGGTTTTTTGAAAGTACAGAGGGTTATCACATAGCAGAAAGTCCACACTCAAGAAAGGGGTTATGGTTAAATTCAGAACAGACACATATGCCAAGGGAATTGGTGCCGTTACATCCATGGGTTGCTTTAACCAAGGGAAGGAATATGTATGAAGCTTCCTGGAAAAAGGTGGAGATTTCTTAGAGCTGTGTTGCCAACCCACTTTTACACCAAATTTAGGTGTTCCTGGCAATGTCATGGTGCTGGTGGGTGTGTGATTTAGGGTGTCAGTGAGTACATAACGAGTTTGTAAGTGAAACCTAGATCACATCCAGCGCCATGTGGGATTCGGTCAGTCTTAACTGGGACCACAGCCTGGTTGCTCAGGGTCTTATCAGCCCACAGCTCTAGTCATGTGAAACCGCTACCTGGAATTTTCTCCTCTCCTGCAACCACTCTGCATTATTACTGCCTCCTTTTCCCCTCCTCAGAGGTCACCATCCCTTATTCTTCAGGGTGATGCGGGAGGAGGCCAGTCTTCTGCACCCACTTCCTGCGGACTGGGGGCATTGGCCCTGTCCAGTGACAGTACGGAAATCTCTGGCTGCTGGTCTAAGGGGTCCCAAGGTGGGTCATCAGAAGAGTCTGAATCTGAGACAAGGATTGGTTGAAATGCTTGCATGACCATTGTTTTGATGTGCAACTGTCGCAACTTGGAAGATACAACCTTTACCCGGAGGTGAAACAAGCAAGGACCAAAAATTAGCAGTAATACGGTAGCTATTAAAGCTCCCAGGAAAGATAGGAGCCAAGTCACACTTTGCAGTATCCTTTGAGGGAGTCTCAGATGGTTTGAGCAGTGGGGTTATTAAAATTGTGTAGCCAGGTGGCCTGCTGGTGAACCTTTTGAACTTGCAGTCACGCTAACCCCGAATTGCTGATGTAAGAACAACAGGTGTGCTTTCTTACTGCACAAACCCTTCCTTGTTCAGCTAGAAGATAAGCCAGGGCCTATAAACCAAAAATAAAATTCTAAGTGCCCCCCACCCACACCCCAATCCTCTGAATGGGCCCTTCCTCTCAACCAAAGGCATTCCCAAGTTAAGCTGAAAAGTTCAGGCTGTGAAGACATGGTCATGAGCTCAACACGCCTCATTACATCCTCCTGCGTTTTGGAATTACTGATAGAACAGACTCTTAAGTCTGATAAGAAACATTTCCAAGCTATTTTCGCTGAAGTCTGCTACCAGGAGGCTTCACCTACGTAATAAAACCTTGGTCTCCACACCCCTTATCATAGTCCAGACCTTTCCTTTCTACTGCTACCTCTTTCAACCAACGGCCAGTCAGAAAATCCTTCAATCTGCCTATGACTTGGAAACCCCCACTTCCAGGTGTCCCACCTTTCTGGACCAAACCAACATGCATCTTACATGTATTGATCGATGCCCCATGTCTCCCTAAAATGTATAAAACCAAGCTGTGACCTGAGCACCATGGACATATGTTCCCAGGATCTCCTTAGGCCCATCATGGGCCATGGGTCACTCATTGGGCTCAGAGTAAATCTCTTGAAATATTTTACAGAGTTTGACTCTTTCGGGAGACAGTAATTTGGCATCTAACCTGGGGCCTCAGAGGAGACTCAGGACCCCAAAGGAGCTGCCCAAACGCAGAGCTAAGGCACCAGCAGGGGCTCATGGACAGCCTCCCTGACCTTGAGCTTCTCCGGTGAAACCAGTGAGTCCTCCTGAGCTCAGGCATCCCTTTAGTTGATGGTCCTTGGTTTATTCTGAGGGTTTTTTTTTTTTTCTCCTAAGAAATGGTTGTTTACAATCCTAATTCTAGTTGGAAAGTTCATTCTGACGGTCTTGTTTTCTTCCAAAATTAAGCTTAATTGACTTGTCTGTGTGTTTCCATGAGGAACTGAGCTATCGTTTTCTAGATGACTGAGACGCTGAACTTCCACAGCTCTAAAGAGAAGGCGTTTTGCTCATTCCAGCTAAAAGGTGCACCTGAGTGACCAGGAGCCAGGTGGGAGTGTCTTGCGGGGCTTAATCAGAGGAAGTGAGCTGTGCACGAGGGCAGAGACAGCTCAGTGCTAAACCGTGGAGTCCCACCCGCAACCAGCACACAGCAAGCCACCACACTAAACCCTAGGCCACAGCTCAGCTCCACCTTTTAAGTTAAAAAAAAAAAAAAAAAAAAAAAAAAAAGGAGGGAGGCCGGGCGCGGTGGCTCATGCCTGTAATCCCAGCACTTTGGGAGGCTGAGGTGGGCGGATCACAAGGTCAGGAGATGGAGACCATCCTGGCCAACATGGTGAAACCCCGTCTCTACTAAAAATACAAAAAAATCATCTAGGCGTGGTGGTGTACGCCTATAGTCTCAGCTACTAGGGAGGCTGAGGCAGGAGAAATGCTTGAACCCAGGAGGCACAGATTGCAGTAAGCCGAGATCACGCCACTGCACTACAGTCTGGGCAGCCATTCGAGACTGTCTCAAAAAAAAAAAAAAAGATGTCGGGGGAAACAAATAATCTAAGACTGAGGAAAGACAAAGAGAACGGCCCCTTTTGGGGACCCCATTGGTGTTATGTGCCTCTATTTGCAAGTGTTTGTATAAAATGGAAAAGTCCCAGGGCATCATGGATTTTCCAGCACTCCAGATGGCTACATATTCTGGTCTTTCTGCGCACATTTTAAACTGATGAGCAAGTTACAGATCCCAAAGGTTCACTGCAACTATAGCGTTCCTAAGTTCTGTATTTTCTTTTCTGCCTGCTTTAAATAGGCTGTTACTTTTCTTTTCTTTTTTTTCTTTTTTCTTTTTTTTTTTTGAGACGGAGTTTCGCTCTTGTTACCCAGGCTGGAGTGCAATGGCGTGATCTCGGCTCACCGCAACCTCCACCTCCTGGGTTCAGGCAATTCTCCTGCCTCAGCCTCCTGAGTAGCTGGGATTACAGGCACGCGCCACCATGCCCAGCTAATGTTTTGTATTTTTAGTAGAGACGGGGTTTCACCATGTTGACCAGGTTGGTCTCGATCTCTTGACCTCGTGATCCACCCACCTTGGCCTCCCAAAGTACTGGGATTACAAGCATGAGCCACAGTACCTGGCCTCCCTAACCCTAATGTAACATTATATACATTTCTGTTACAGTAGGATTAGAGACAAGTTCTGTTTAGAAATAACTCCAAGAACTGCTTTTATTTTTTATTTTCATGTTGAAAATCAGATTCACTTCAGCCTCAAAGAGCATGTTTATGTAAAATTAAATAAGCCCTGGAAACAGGCTGCACTTTTTCTTTTTTTTTTTTTTTTTGAGACGGCGTTTCACTCTTGTTACCCAGGCTGGAGTGCAATGGCGCGATCTCGGCTCACCGCAACCTCCGCCTCCTGGGCTCAGGCAATTCTCCTGCCTCAGCCTCCTGAGTAGCTGGGATTACAGGCACGTGCCACCATGCCCAGCTAATTTTTTGCACTTTTAGTAGAGACGGGGTTTCACCATGTTGACCAGGATAGTCTCGATCTCTTGACCTCGTGATCCACCCTCCTCGGCCTCCCAAAGTGCTGGGATTACAGGCTTGAGCCACTGCGCCCGGCCAAACAGTTGCCTTCCTTATGCAACTTTTTTTTTTTTTTGAGACGGAGTTTCACTTTTTGTTACCCAGGCTGGAGTGCAATGGCGCGATCTCGGCAGCTTACCGCAACCTCCACCTCCTGGGTTCAGGCAATTCTCCTGCCTCAGCCTCCTGAGTAGCTGGGATTACAGGCACGCACCACCATGCCCAGCTAATTTTTTGTATTTTTAGTAGAGACGGGGTTTCACCATGTTGACCAGGATGGTCTCGATCTCTCGACCTCGTGATCCACCCATCTCGGCCTCCCAAAGTGCTGGGATTACAGGCTTGAGCCACCGCGCCCGGCGCTGCACTTTTTCTAAATGGGAAATGGGATAAGCAGAATCTTTAATAAATAAGCTAGCTTTGAAACGATTGATAAAGCAATATTAGAAACATCTTAAGAGTTGTCAGCATTTTTGTTTGCATTTATTGATCAACTGGTTTTGTATTTATCCCTGCAGAATGCTACAAGGTGTCCAAATTTGCCAAAAGGATTATAAAACTATAAGCCCAGCTCAAAACAGAATTGCTCATATAATTTTCATTAAATAAGGCATTTAATATTGTTGGTTTAATGAAAACAAGCTTAATCCTGAGTTATTGGTAAGATAGCCATATATTTCATCTTAAGTTTCTTACGTAGGTAAACACTTAAAATTCATAGGCTATAAAAATGGTTAAGAGAGAATAACTTTAAATGATGACTATCACCATTTTCATCAATAATCTAGGTAAATTATTAAATTAATTAGGCGATTGTAATGGAATAAATGCTTGTAAAAAATTATCATATAATGTAGAATCTAAGGTTATATTAAACAATAGATATTAATTAAACGTCTGGGAAATTTCCAATATAAAAATTAGGAAACCCGGCTGGGCGCGGTGGCTCAAGCCTGTAATCCCAGCACTTTGGGAGGCTGAGGCAGGTGGATCACGAGGTCAAGAGATCGAGACCATCCTGGTCAACATGGTGAAACCCCGTCTCTACTAAAAAAAAATACAAAAAATTAGCTGGGCATGGTGGCGTGTGCCTGTAATCCCAGCTACTCAGGAGGCTGAGGCAGGAGAATTGCCTGAACCCAGGAGGCGGAGGTTGCGGTGAGCTGAGATCGCGCCATTGCACTCCAGCCTGGGTAACAAGAGCGAAACTCTGTCTCAAAAAAAAAAAAAATTAGGAAACCATTTT